TTCAATGGTGGGTTTAGTTGCACCAAATATTTAAAGAGATTTCTTCAATTTACTTGCTCTGTTCAAACTGTCATCTAACTGAGTAAGTAAATTACTCGGATTAATGGACATGTGGAAGAAGCTATCCGCAAGTTGAAACAGTTAATGAACATTTTTCATGGCACTGTGGGCTCCTCTCTAACTTTTCTCCCTAAGGTAGACTAAGGAATTATTTTCGTCCCCTTCTTTACTTTCATTTCTCTGAGTTCATCAAAGACTTATCAAAACTGCAGTAGTTAACTGGAGGTCTGAGTGCACACACTCAACACCAGCTAAGTCTGGGGGCATTTTTGAAGCAATGACGCCGTCCACTGCTGAGCCGGGACAGCCCCTCACTCGGGAAAGCAGCCTCCTGCTGCAGAAGGCAGGGGCCGCCGGGGACGGAGTGCGTGCAACAGACCAGCCATGGCCCGGCCGGACGGCCAGTGAGCTCGAGTTGGCTAGCAGTGTTTCACACATCAAGAAACATGACATTTTTTAAAATCCAGCATTTCTTGAAACATCAAAAGCCTTGGTGAGAGTGGGTCCCTCTCCCCAAACAGTGACAATTGCTGGACGTCTCTGTGTCGCCCAGGGCCACCCCATGCCCCTGGCCTTCTGTCCCAGCACACTTCACTAATTTATGGCTGCTCAAAAGACTCCCTTTTGCAACAAAGACTCCCTCTTCTGCTCTGGATAGATGTCATCTCTCACTTCCATAATCTCCTCCTGACATAGGCACTGTCCCACCCGCCCAACCGCCCACCATCTCAGTCCCTCCCTGGGCCTTGGCTTCCACCTCTGCATGACCCTGGCCACCTCCCATGCATGCCCAGCCTCCTATGAGAGCTCTCACCGGGTCCAGCATGAAGCAGTTGACCCCACTGTCCATGGCGAGGACCAACATGGTGGCGCTGCCATAGAGCGCATAGCCGGCCGCCACCAGGTTCCGGCCTGGCTGCAGAGCATCCTTCTCAGAAGGTTCACCAGCTGATTGCTAGAGCAAGAAAGAAAACAAAACATGTTTTCGTTGTGTTGTTTTGTGCTGCTTTTTTCCAGGTCAACCAATAATGGGATGCATAATCAAGGTGCTCTTCTTTTTTTTTTTTTTTTTTTTTTTTTTTTTTTTTT